TTAAAGCCATTTGGAATTAACTGTTGTGGCCATCTTGAATTTTCAAATGCAGAGTGCTTTTCTTTATTTGTTTGTGCACCCCTAAAAGACACCTTGCCCACCTCTTGAAAAAAGGTCTAGCACCACCTCTACATGAAATATTGCAGATTGTTCACATAATCTGCAAAGTTTTACAGAATACTGGTGGGAAATGGAAATCTTTACAATCCTACAATGTCCTCTTCAAAAGGAGTTTGCATATTTGAAAGACCGTTCTATTCTTAAATAAATATTAAAATAGTGGCAAAACATGATATAGAAACTAGTTTGATCACRAGAAATAGTGCCAGAATCTAATCCACAGGACAAAACTGCTTTTGTGTGTGTATCTGAGTTAAAATATATTTTAAAAAAGTATTTTCTTTTGCTATTTTTCTCACTTCTYTAAAGAATAAAACTGCGGAGACACAGAACATTCGGTTTGAACAGTGTTGTTTGGAGATATTGTGAATAATCCTCAGCTGCAGGGAGATGATCTYCAAGCCTGACTCGTGAGTCTGCATGACTGTTGAGCTGCATGTACTCGAACAAACACACAAACCCAATTATAAACACAAAAACAAGTGGAAACAATACACTGGTATTCAAACAAACCACAAGAGCCTGTAGAGAATGAGTCATAAAAGCCGTTACCAGCAGCTGCAAACACTGTTTTTACAAGTGTTCATATAAAAGTAAACAGTGATTAAGTGCTAAAGACGCAGATCTGATCTCAGACTCTAACACCTTTATAAATATCACATAGTTTCTGAAATAAGYGAGTCCACATACTCTAACTCATGTAATTTATTTTTATTAAGTAAAGAACGGAGCTCCATACCTGGGTGGTTGTGGTGCTGGAGCTGGTGCAGGGGCCACAGGGAGCACGGTAGGAACGGCACGCCTCGGTCTGGCAATTTCTTCACCTGCGAGAAGAAAAAWWAAWWAAAAAATGTATTCACCACACATGAAAGCTTCATCACTTTCTCCTCAGTCACTTGTTTTTAAAGGTGAGGCTGAAGTGCAGTGAGAATGATACTTACTAGACGTGTTTCTTTTTAAGCCCTGTTACACGAGGAAAAGAGAATAACAGTAAATATTAAAGCTCAAATGAAGAAACAAAACAAACAAAAAATAGATWATAAACATCCATCCAAGTCTCACAATTTTATACCCAGCCAAAAAGTATTTTTGATCTTGTTT